CAACGAGGTCAACCCACTTCAATAAGTCGAAAGGAGACTGCGACCATACCCGAGGCCACAACATCTTGGTATTCACATCTTCAAAATAAACGTATGTTTGCTTTAGCAATCGACTACGTTACTTATATTCGTATGAGAGTAGGGTTTCGAGACTACCAGTGAATCAGTGTAATGAAATGTATTCAACCACCCCGGATGAGAACAACTTTTGGGAAAGCAAGGCTATGTGAAATTCAATGGAAACGTCAGCTCAACTGATATCATTGTGTGAAAATTCTACTACCAGTCCTTCATCACCTTAGACGGAATAGGGTGAATACATCTCATTACACTGATTCACTGGCAGTCTCGACACCCTACTCTCATACGAATATCTGGGATGAGTTAACTGTTACTTGACTATTAGTGACAGTCTCGAAAGCCACTTATACCGACAACAAAGTTATCCTGCAACAATTCTCGATAGTGCTGAAGCCCATTGGCAGCGGAAAGAGACTGTCACTTGCCTTGAGGGCCGTGGGCTGATGGCGTCGCTGCGGGCGCCATTAGCTTGCTTCCCTGGCGTTCCGGTGAAGGACCGAGAGCCGAGGTTGGGCTGCTCACTGACTGAGCGCCTGAGAAGGGCCGAGAGACTGACAGTTGGGCGGCTGGGCCAACCTGACCGACCGGGCCTACAGCCGGCATAGCGGCTGACACAGTCGCACTGACAGCCTCGACTGATGCCTTCACAGACGGGGCCGCAACCGGTGGCGCTGAGCATCTCAGTCCTGGAGGCGAGAGAGTCCACATCGGATTTGCGGTGGTTGTGGTTGTGGTTGTGGCTGAAGTTGTTGGTGGTCGTGATGTAGTAGCGTCGGAGCCACGCCCGAAAAAATTCACTGGTCTACAGATTGCACTCAAGCGCTTGACCGGACCGACGTCGGCTGGACGAACGGTACCGGACACCGGCGGGTCTGAGGGGTCCGGGCGGGCGGACGAGGACTGGAAGAGGCACGGCCTGGCCTCAGTGTCAAGGCAACGTGAAGCCTGACCTGAAGACTGGCCAGACGGAAGGTTGGGCAGCGCAAAGTGGGGCAGGAGGCTGGGCTTCTGCTGGAGACCGGCAGTTAGAGACGCCTTCATCGTCAGCGCCGTCGAAGAGTGCGGCGAAATCAGCCTCTCTGAGCAGGGCGCCCCTGGCCTGAGGCTGCTAGGCAACGGTTGGCAAGCGACTTGAACCGGCGCCGCGACTTTCTTGCCCTCGGCGGCGTCAGACAGCGTCTGGCTGAACAGGTCATTCGCAACGGCCTCCTCGACCCCTTCATCTCTCCGCCAAGCCGGAGGCTCTTCTGCCTCGGTTGCCTTGCCGGCTGGTGCTGCCGGGCTCGGCGGCAGCGGATCTGTGGAGCCAGAGTCCGTGGCACCGCTGATCCGCTTGACGGGGTCAGAGGCGGCGGCCTGCAGACATTGGCCAGACCTAAGGGGAGGGCGAGGCGCGGGCATCGCAGACGAGATACACTCTTGCAGGAGGCTGTGCTCCAGACCGGCTGACTCCAGGCTGAGCAGCGAAGAAAGACTGCTGGCGTCATCTGAAACAGTGAAATTAGCAACATTTTCGCGCATTTAAACAAGATGTGTGCATGCACAGATTGAACAACATAACTGTTTTCATATAAGCCGGCTTCTCTTCGCACAGGCATGAGTACGTGGTAGATAGTTATGTATGAACGTATGACCGAATGTATGTGCACAAGTATGATGATTTGAATGTATACATCTGTATATGTGCGTATGCGTGTATGTATGCGTGCATGAATGAATGTATAAATGTATGTATGTATTAAATATATGTATATCTGTGTGTGTATATATGTGTGTGTGTGTGTGTGTATGGATACAGATACGAAAGCAATGACTAGAAATCAGAGTACGCATAAGAGGAGTTTCTCAAATAGCAAATCGTCCCGATTTGTCTAATTAGATAAATGCCTGTTGAGAAGACGAACAAACGGAGAAGCAAACTTTTGTGCTTATTGAATCTCCGAGCATAGTTGAGGGTTAGATGCTTGAGATCAAGCCAAAATACCAGATGACAGAAGAGGCAGGCAGTAAGAATATGGGTAGGCTGTGAAAAGTAGAATCACCTTTGTATTCACATTTACAGAAACGAGCAAATGCTAGAGAGAAAACTAAAACAAGTATGGGAGGAGCCTTAGCGAAGGATCACTGTCGAGTATTTGATTTGTTGTCATGTTAAAAATGTTCTAAAAATAATTTATTTCGGAAGAATCTGCGCAAAGGTGTGGCCTTTATAATGGGCGAAGTCTCTTTTCTGTGTAAAAGTGTATTGACCTCGTCTTCGCAAAATCGTCCTAGTTTAACAAGTGCTTAGAGAAGCGCACCTTGTCCGATGTCTGCCATAGTATCCATGATGATTTATAGCGTCAGACTGTAAATACTCATACTGACACATAAACACACGCACACACACACATACAAAATATATACATATATAAAAAGTAATACTATTCTCGAATAAAAACCAGGAAAGACTAGGTCGCTTAAACGGATTCAAAGACTTATACGTCAGTTTTCCTCGCAAAGCAATGAATCCTCAGGATGCCAATGAATTTCACATGACCTTGCCGCTCAAAAGGCTTTCTCATCACGGTTGGAATGGACTGGACTGCGGTTTCTATCTCGCCTCATCACTTGATCCGCACTCTCTACGGGATTCGGTACCGATTCATGAATAGCATAATGTTGTACGACTCCACCCATATACATAGCTACTGGGGGCCAGCAGGTTACAGGGCAGGAATCAGGCTTCTCCCAAATCCAATTCATAGTGGGATTGTGGAAAAAGTAAACAATCGATCAAGTTATTTATTTTTAACTAAGTAGTTTTCAAGGTTACCAGCTATTCTTAAGTAAGAATTTACTTAGCCTAGGTTGCTCGAGGTGATTTAAAACCTGACACATCACCTTTCCCACAATCAATCTCAACATGTCATTCAACTTTTTTTAGCCTTAGAAATCAAGATCAAGACGGCGTGGCCTTTTGTTTGGTCTCAGTCTGAGCGGCATAGCCTGTTGACAGGCAAGACTAAGTGAATTTACCAAGTCAATGGCTCGATGCTGGAAAGCACGAATACGATGCCAGAGGACAAAGGACCAGTTACGCTCCACAAGGTCTCCACAACACTTCGACCAAGTTGCGAAAACGAGGTCAAACCAACACTATAAAGCTAAAGGAGGCTGCGACCAAGCAGAAGGCCACCCCATCTTGGTCTTCATTTCTAGGACTAGGTGAAGTTCAACAACACAGCGAGGTCTTATTGTAAGAAGACTCACCTTCAGGCCTTGAACCACCTCGAGC